TATATGAGATATGGTAGGTTGGACTGTTACGCAGTAATACCTGATCTTATGTTGATATTGATTGTATGATTTAACTTACATGTAGAGTTGTGATATTTTCACAATTATCTGGTCTTCTCTAAACTTTAAAATTCGATTGTGGCCTATCAACTACGGAAAATGAAACAACACAGCAACTATCATCTTTATCCTACGCCACAGAATTTTTCTTATCTGGGAATAATTTATTTGCTATGATGTATTATGAATTCCTTTTTTCATTCAGGAAATGCTACATCTTACACTATAGCCACTACGTAAATTCATGTAGACGTGTCCTTCTTGAGTACTCCTGTTAGGGAACGTCATTTGAATTTTGGTTACTGCCAAAATGTTATTTGCTGATCCCTAATAACTGTTTCACCTTTTGGATAACAGTTCACAATAGTATGCATCTGTAGTTGATTTCTGAAATCAAGTACTGACTAATCATGAATTCTTAGTTATGCTCTAAACATTTAGGTTAACTTCCAGATGTTCAGGTTACAGGTTGTATTATTAGTTGACAGTAATACGACTACAAACTGTGTAACTAATCTTGGGTGACCATAAGGTAAAGTGCGTTAAGAATATTAGTACCTAATGTCGGACTTCAAGTAGTAAAAAGGTTGACGTATTTATGAAGCGGAAAAATGATGATCATTTTATGATATGGTATTTTGAGATAAGGGATATTTCTGTTGAATTGGCGTGTGTTAATGCATCTCTACTTCGTGGGTACGGTCTACAATATCAAGTGACTCAATAGCTTCTTTATTTCTATTATTGGAAATTATTGCAAGATTATGCAAACTTCCTACGTTTATTTTCTGTGTTGTTTGCTGCTCTGATCATTCTGTTACTCTTTCCATTTGTTAAATCATTTTGTTTGGCGCGCTTCGTGATGCCATAATACGTTGAGGTTATGGTAAATAGGTAATATATTCATTGTGATATCCAGTTAATCATGAATTCTTTCGTAAAAGCTGATTACAGGAGTGCAGTGCAATAAAATCTCGCCAGCTAAAATGCGTATTCAATATTGTTATGGAAAAATTTATCAATTATATACTTCGTTTTATTCTATGTAGACTTTTGAATGAAGAATTTGTTCTGTTTTCAAGTCACTCTTTAATATACTTTTCAGCATTCTGTCTCTTCACTTTTCGTGTCTTTATCAATTAATTCATAAGTATGATATATACTGATTAAGTTAGTTATCGGTTTGATTAATTATATTAATTTTCCACCAACCAATTAAGAATTTAAACTTTTTATGCATTCACTGTCTTTGGGTTTGGGGAATTAATGTTTTTGAGTTAAAAATGAGATTTTATTTCAACAGCCGTTTCTTCGAATAATAGAACATACGTTTAAGTCTTGCACATGTCTTGAGAAAGTAGGTAGGCTGCACACTCTTTTCTTCCTACAACTAACATTGGTAACTTTTTAAGTAATCTATTTCGATCAATTTCATCTTATAGTCAACATGGACTAGAAGCTCTTGAATTTTATTGATTCTAAAATTTTTGGTATCTTCCAGTTTGTTTATGTATTGGGTTGTATGCGATAAAAAGTTGTGATTTTCTGGAGGAATCGTATGAATTCCCCATTGCCCTCTCCCTTCACCTTGAATTGTCTTATATTGACATGTTCGAAAATACATCTGCGATCCACCTTAATTCTTGCTATTAGTTAATAGTTATTATCTTTTCATAATGAAAAAATCCTTCCTGGTCTTTTCCTATGTTTTAAGTTGTTTGTGTTCTTATCCCCACTGAAATAATTTCATACGCAAGCTTCTCTTCATCTCATTGAATATGTCAATAGAGATAAATTAGTGTTTCTGTTATTTTTCTATTTCTAGAGATAATTTTGAGTTAAGCTTCTTTTTGTCATAAAAACCCCGAAAAATAACAGTTAACTGAAAATTGAAATGATTTTTACCATCGAAATATTTATCAGTGCTACTGATTTCTTTTTTGCATGTCATGTTTACTCAACGAGTATTTGTGTATGGTATTGACATTTTGAAGTGTCTTTGCCTTGATTCTCATCACTTCATCTTGTGTGGAAATTACCGTGTGTATATGTATGAATCATTAACAGTAGTGGGAAAGGGATATGGTTATTCGGTTAACTGGTTATTTTCTGAGAATACTAACAAATTTTTCGAAACTTCTATACCCTCTGCCTAATATTAGATAAGTGAGTGAACGGAGTGCCTTGTAACGAATAAATACATTGATGTCTGGTGGTGGGTTGATGAAGTTAAAAGATAAAGGTTTCTAGTACTTTAATTCGACAAAAAGTAGCAATGAACGAATGCATAATGAATTGTCTGTAGATCGCACTTCCATGAACCTCATCGACTTCGAGCAAATAGGTCACGGGTTCAAACCTTAATTCATGTAATTCAATTTAGACAGTTGTTAAGTATCACAAATCCCAACACATTGAGTATTAAGCATCATTAACGTGAGTTGTCATCACCTTTCGTGAGAAAAGAGCATTAGTGGCACATACAAGAAAAATATTTGCAGGATAAACCACTTGGTGATGACAAACTATTTAATGATATTTAACGAGTCAGTGAATTTTAATTATCCTAGCAGTAGAGTTTATGGGCAGCAGTAAGTCAGTTATTACCGTTATTCGATAATCATCTTAAAATACACAAGCATTATTATGTGCAATGTCATTATTCAACAAACTCAGCTATAAAGAAGACCTAAACATCTCTAACTCTTCATAATAGTTTGATCCTAGATCCTTCTTCTTCGATATGCAACTTTTTTAGTAGAGTGACTTGATTCAATTCATTCCAATGAATATTTGACTAAGTACTAATACATTGAAATTCTATCTGACATAAGTGGTGATAGCTACTGGTTGTAGTACCAACTTACTCTCAGCTGACTTCAACGGACAATTGTATTACATAGACAATAACTCTAAACTTCTAACGTCAGAATAAAGTGCACTAAATAGCTGTTTTATTTAGGTTTGTGATTATATCGCTTGACTCCGGTCAGCATTTTTTTCGTGGTTGATACACCTGTCACCATCTAGTAACTAACTCACGTGCAAAAGTTAGTCTTTTTAGTCTCGGAATTTGTTTAGATTTCCTAGATGAATGTGTTTACTGTTCATATATCGGCAGTTGCAGTATCTAATTAATGTCGTTTCCTTGCATAACTCGAAAATGCTATCTTGTATATATTTTTTTGGTTGGTAATTTTTAATAGATTACTCATAGATAGATATAGTCTAACCATTTTTGGGTATAATTGTGCAGTTTAACTCCACAATATCTATTGATAGATGAGAATAAAAATGGATATTTGACCTAGTTTACTGAGTTACTTTTTCCTATCTGGTCTGTTTGCGGGTTCTGCGCTCACTCTCTATTTCTCTCGCTCCCCTCCTATGCCTATAGACTTACGTACCGATGAGGTGTAGAAGAGAATAAACGATTTCAACCAGTGTTTCTACTGTATCTTTCTTTTTCTCTGTGTGAACAGCTGTATGAATTAGTTAGTAATAGTGTATGTGATTAGTTAAAGGAAAAGAATCTTCCAGGTTAATTCTTTTATATTCAGCTCTCTCTCTCTCTTCAGTGCTAGTCTATTCCGGCGCTAAGGGAAGTATTTAGTTTATTTGAAAGGGAAATGTAATCTCCTCGTATGTATCATAAACATTGTAACTGCGAATCTGACTTGTTGCACAGAGTAAAAATATAATGATTTGCACATCTGTGCCTATTTTCTTCGTGTACACCTCTGTACTTTTCAACCGATTTCTCTGCCTATTTGTTTGTGTGTGTGCTTGTGTATAATATTTGAATTCTTGCTGAATTTGAGAAAATCTTTGTCTTTTTTGTTAGTTTGTTTTATTTCCATTGCTTCTTTTGCTTAGAAATTTATTTTTTCTTTGGTGCTTTTGTGGATATACAGGGTTGTGTGCCTGTGTCATTATCTGAATGAATTTCTTTTTATTTGAATTATGACGCTGTCTGTATCTACTCTATCCATATACAACTAAATCAATCTTCATCAACATCATAATTATTAATCTTACTATCATCACTATCTTCATTGTCCTCATTTATTTTTATTAGATAAACGTAACTATGTCTGTTTTGTGGGTCAAATTTTGTCTTCATATTATCAGTTAATAATTACAGCTAGCGAGTGCATTTTTTTCCGCTGTACTCGTCTTTTTCTCCTTCTGCTTCTCCTATTACGATGACGACTACCAGAAAAGAAATTTCTCTTTCTTTTTTTTCCTTTTCTTATCCTGATGATATTTTGCAAATTCATGTATGTATATGGCAATAATCATTTATCTCTTCTTTGTCTTATTTTCCTACGTACTGACTGGTGCTTCCAGTGCAATTTCACATTATCATGAATATTTTTTCTTCTTTTTCTGGTTAATAAAAGAATCAGTATTTTATGGGATTTGATAAACTTGTTAGTAAGTAACCGGGTAAATTCAGTTATATCAAATGATTATTGAACTGGACAGTTGTACTGGGGATCCAATCATTCAGTGGGTATTTAATTGTTGTTAGGTTCTGGTATTCGCCTCCTTCAATGTCCTCCCTTTTTTTGTTTTGTTTATATGCAGTGATAATGAGTTCAGTTTGACATTCATCACCTAAATGTGAATATATCCTGAGGTGTTTATTTTCTCTCTAGAACTTGAACTCAGTAGCTATCACTTCAAACACCCAAGTGTTATCCACTATGTTATCGGATCAGTGTAGTCACATCTTGTTCACATGATTGTTTTCATCTGGCTTATGATGTTTATTTGAAAAAGTATTATTTCCATTCGTTTAACACCTTCAGGATTTCATACTGTAATATATTTGTCATAATTTCAAACGTACTATTTACAACAAGTAACCGTTTGGTACTTTTAAAAACTTATTCTTCCTTATTCTCGTTTTACTGATTGCTTTTCATTTCTCTTAGCTCTACGATTCTATGCTTGGTATTAAAGAGGCAAATAGCTCTACTGTCAGTGAGAATAATATTTGTCCTCGGTTGTCCACTCATACAACTCCACCGCCAAACCTTCTTAGTGGAGGAAATTATAACTGTCCAACAATAGCACCATTATCAAGAAGTCGGTCAGATATAGAGTCAATTATGAGAACAGATCATTTACGTGATAGTCATGATTCATGTATTTACACCAATTTAAATGTTCCAGTTGGAAATACTGGATCATCTATGTCAGCTTTGTGTGGAAGTGATGATACTGGTACACGTCGAGGATTAGAAGCAGCTGTTGCTAGTGGTGGTGATGATGCAGCTAACCGTGATGTGAAATCTTTACGTTATCCATCGAACGACTCGCTTGGTGTCTCGTCTGCTATTTTCGATCCATACTACGCAATGGGTGAGTCAGTTATATGAAATCTATATGGTTATTGTGATTTCCCCTTTCTTATTTCTGGTAAGTGAATGGAAGTCAGTTTTAGTGATGCTTTAGTGTGGTATATGAATGTATGGCAATAAAAGTATTACATGGATATCATACACTGTAGCGTGCTATTTTAAGGTTAATTGTTTGACTAGTTTGCCGAAATCACATTGGCAAGCTGACATAGAGGATATACATTTTTGCTGCTATTGTAGTTTTTGTTGACGTTTGAACAGTTCTCACCGTAATTGTCAGTCTGTAGAATAGTTTTATCTAAAGCGCAAGAATATCAAATGAATATTGACTGTTATGTTTCCTTCGAATTTAACTGTTTAGCTGTTCTTATTGATTTACAATTTTAAAATAGTTGATGCAATCATGGCAACGTAAATCAAGTATAATAAAACTATATTAAGTATGCTCAAAATTAATTTTGTTTAATAAATAGCTGTGGCTCAGTGGTCTAAACAATCGACTGTTAACCAGTGAGTTATGGGTTGGAACACTTCTCCAATTACCGAGGTTCGAGTAACCATGTGACTCATCGGATACTGTGAGAACTTTTATGTGTTTGTTTGGTTACGTCATTATTTCATCACTAATACTTTAAAAGTCCTAGTAGGTTTTCGGCAAACATCATATTCACGATCCCTAGTGCAAAATATAGAGGCGTTTTTCTGTTGAAATCGGCGATACGTTTTCTACCTGTTGATGTTAGCTCAATAAAATTGAAGTTCAATTGTCTTATCTCTTGATTCTCTGCTACTGTGGAATGATATAGAATTAAATGAACTCGCACTTATGTTACCTCGAAGTAAATTCAATCTAAAATGTACAAACCCTTTCAACAACAGAGTATGATAATTCTAATTATTTTAATAGAACAGAAAAAAAGTTTTATAATTGCTTTTGCAGCTTTAGGATATGTATAGCGAGAGAGGGAGAGTGATGTACAAGTTTGTTTTCTTCATTTGTTTTGACTGCGCATAAAAAGAAACAAACATTGAATTTCTTTTGAATTTCCTCTAAGATTCTTGACCAATCCCTAAAATAATTTTCTTTTTATTCTATAGCTGTTTATATCAACTCTATATCAACACCTTATACAGGGAAAAATGTATAGATGTGTATTTTTTTCTTCCCTTTGCATTTTGTTAGTTTTTTCTCATATGTGTATGTATGTGTGTGTGTGTGTTTTACTCCACAGAATGTCTACATTTATCTCTATTCTTTTGCTTGTCTTCCCTTTCCCTGCTTACTACTTTTAGAATTGTTATTTTCTTCTGTTGTAAAAAATCCATCTGTGCTGCTTTGTTCTGCTGCATGTGTTTTCTATTTCGCTATGTCCCCAGAGGTCGCATACGTGATTTTTTTCATGCTTACCCATTACCTTCACAAGATTAGCTGATTCACAGAACAAGTTTGTGTAGCCTAGAGGCAGACTTTCTATCCAGTTCATTACTTATATAGTTTATTTACTCTATACTTTTAAAGTAATGAGTAATTTTTAATAATTTGCCTGTTTTCATTCTTCGGCATTTATCCTTAGTTTTCCTTTTCACCCAGGTCTTGTTTCACAATAATGTTATGCTTGATTGCCGACTTCATTTTGTACAAGTAATTGGTACATCTTGTTACAAGTAAATTTTACTGTCTGATCTTAGTATGTAGTGGTGAAATGTTTCTACAATCTGAATCAGTAGTGCATATCTTACTTCGAAATAGGCTTATTTCTGTTTCCATCTATTATTCAAATGTCATTTATTTGTTCTCGTTTACTTAATAGATCCAGCTTGTGATGGGAATACAGTTCCTGGTGCTTGGTCAAGTTCAGCTAACGTTATTAATCCAGGTTGCGTCACTGGTTCTGCCCGTGCACCGAATTTCGCTTCACATGTTCCTGATGACAACAGTGTTTGTCATTTGACGTCGGAATTGACCTCCGTTTCAGTTTACCCCAATCCTAATTCTTCTATTCATCCTGAGCCTAGTCATTCGGCACATGTAAATATGGTAATATTTCTTGTTGAATATTCCACTAAATTTTATATAATAGTAAACTAACCTTCAGACACCGAAAGTGTTCTATGTTAAACCAGTGGTTTTTAGCATAATGTTACACTAAGAAATAATTTTTATACATATTTATTTGTAATTCAAAGTTAATGTATTTTTCGAGGTTTTAACACTGTTAATCTGTTTTAAATAATTTTTTTGATACTTTCAGTTTTTAAATGTCCCATGTAATAAAATATATCCCATTTATTACCTACACCGACTGTCGTCAAGTTTCTCATAAGCTGTTCTGTTTAAGAGATATTTGATTTGTACTTTGCCCAATAAATTTATAATTTTCAGTGAAGTATTTTAAGAATTCCGTACTCAGTAGTTAATATGATTTTTTCATTGGACTCTTGGTAACGTTACGTTATATCGAAGAAAAGTTGCTGCAAATGTACTTAGAAAATCAGCTGGTATCTAGTTTATCTGATGCTAATTAAAGATTTTGTTAATCACACTAACCACTCGAGCCCTCTTCTTTCAGCCCGATGCAATGTGTTGTTGTTGGTGGGTCTAATTGTGTAACAGCCCAAATTTCTCTTCGTCCTTGGATCAAGTTTTGATCATATTAGTTTTCATTAGGACGAAAACAGTCTGAATTTTTTTGTAATATGTTTATTATCAGGCTTTTATTTACAATATGCGTTTTAATAGAACGTATTTAATTGAGATTTTCATTGCGTTTTTTGAAATATTTTATAGGGAATGAATTATTCTGGTGCCGGTAACTTGTATGCATCACCTTCATTACGATCATGCCCTATGGTTGGATTGCCTGAATCCTCTATACAACATCCATGCAATATACCTCAATCTTGTAAGCTGATAGACATCTACTCACTATTTTCAACAGTCTTGTATTGTTATCAATTTTGCAATGCTTTTTATGTTGTATTTAGGTTATTTTGTGTAAGAAATAGCTATGTGCATTCGAGCAGTACTGCTATGAATCATTGGTCTACGGGCTGGACTTTCAACCGATCGGTCACGGGTTCGAACCCCTTTCTACCTACCGAGGCCTGGATTGCCAAGTAGTACTATTAGTCCTCGCACAACAAATTTAACACCGACGTGAATGTGGTTGCTAAGTGGAGTTCGACTTTGCAATTCCATTCTCATTCGAGCATATTAATCATCGTTATTCTATACTTATTTCATTAAGGCTTTTACATGGAGTTTATTTTGTTGGAAGTTCATTTTAATCAAATGAAAAGTGTATATTATCACCAGTACTGTTTAGAAAACTTGGTTTAAAACATTTTATATTCGGGAATTTTAATTGTATTGTGATCAGATTCACGTGTGTTGAATCTCGTTAATAGACAAAGTGATAAAGGGTTTTTTGTTGATTACTTGACCTAATTGATTGGCAGCGTCCTTACTACAATTATTGTGCTTTACACTACACAGCTAGCTCAAATACAAAATCTTTGAATTTCATTCCTTCATCCATCACAAACAAATTCTCATGGAGATATTTTTTACTGCATATACGACACACTAAACAGATCAGTTGTCTAAACTCCAATGCAAACAACACAGCCACACCATGTAGGTGTTTGCGAACCATCTCATCATATCTTGTGCATAGCATTTGACCGTTCTAATGATCCCATGTTTTTAAGATTCGTTTTTATCATTGAATGAACATTGCTTCTCTCAAAGATTTTTCGAATTATAATTGCTAGATGCTTTTAGGTTGAACAATTTGTTACTTTTCATACAGTCCAACCAAGTTTTAGAGACACCTTTGTTTCTTCTACAGACTTTCCCTGTTATAGCTATTCTTTCCTTTTCTAGGAATTAACTGAGTTTCTTTGCTTAAATCACTGCACTGAGATTGGGTAATTGTTTATGTTCAGGTAAAAAAAATATTTCATTACTTAAGTTTTGCAGGTCGAAATTTAGATATAAAGAAATGATTTACTGGTTTGACATATCAGCACTAAAACTCAATGCTTTTTATAATCACAGCTTTTTGTGAATCGCTACGTTAAAAAGTCTCCTTACACACTAATTAGTTGAGGTAAGTTATATGTACCCGACCGGTAAATGCCACTTTGACGTGGTGATCGGGTTTGCATATCACAATTACCAAACGAGGTGTGTTGATGCAACACTTATTTCTTTGAAGTCCTGTCATAACAGAAAGATCAGCTGGATAGTGCTAAGACAAGAGGCGGCTACCTTAATGTTTTCAAATTGTTATGCTATGATAGGGGTAGCAGGGGGAAGTCGTAATACTGACTGGACGGGGGTGGGTGAGGGGGTGGGTACAACCGAAGCAGGGTGGATGACCAACACTACTATACTGGTGCTGCTTCTCTATGTAAAAGCGGAGGAGGTTGTAGAAAAGGTTATCCCTGAAAATTGCACACTCCTTTCTACTTTATGGTATACCAGCGGATGCGGTATGGGTTCATAGTCGGATTCGAAACTAACACACTCAAATTTCGAAAAAGACTGTATGTGACTGACCTCAAAGTGATGTCCCTCGAGTTCTGTGGTCATGCTGTAACCTTTCGTCTTTTAGGTACCTCAAGAACACCTTCTATGATATGGAGACCTGGGAAGTGACAATCCCCCTCGTAACTCTATCAGGATTCAGGTTTCCCAGGTCATTATCAACCTTCCACATCTCTGCCTTCTGATTATCTTTCATGTTTGTCGATCAACATTCCTATGTCATCTTTAATTTGTTGCAAGTCCGAAACCCTCGATAAAGGTTTGAGTTTGTGTGATAGGATCCCTGGTCTGCTGCAACCACACTCCGAAGTACGTATTGGGCTTTAATGTCCTTGTCCTTCGTCAAATGAGCAAAGAGATTCGCTAACCGTTACTGTGACATCTTGAACCATAGATGTGTACTGTGTTTTTGAGACACGCGTGCAGAAGTTTGGTTTGTTTATTCACTTAACCTCATGCTGCTAATGTAGTGAATCCGCGAAATTCTTTTTTTTTCTTTTCAATTTCTAAATCTCAGTTGATAGTCGCTTGTGTGCGGTTCCACTCAGTGGTACAATAATGACTTAAAGTATGATTTGACTGTGGTTGGAATTATATTCTATGAGGGTCGCGTTTACAGTCGTTTTTAATTGTTTGGTCATCTTTTCGTTCATTTTTTCGCTCACGAAAATCGGAATTGATTCATGATTTGTTTCACTGCTTACCTAAGAGTAAAGTAAATACTCTGCTTTATGTACTGGGATTTATGCAACGCTTACGTTTTGACAACCTGTGGTTCTATTCAGTTTTTCTAAGGCATCGACGAAGGTTTCACCAGACATAAGGTTTACTTGACGAAGTTTAGAAGTTGCAGATAACATTTAGATCTTCAGTTTTTCTTCAATGTCTATATTTTTCGGTGTATCCTAGAGATTTCTTGCTCAGTGTTGTGGTCTATATGTTACCACCTGTTCCTCTTTATTGTTTTGTGTCGTATAAGTTCTCTAATGTCCGTACAATTAATTTGCTTTAAAATGTTATTCTAACCAATAGGTGATAACTGGTGACTTAATTTATTTGATAGATCAGGGATTAAGAGCAACTATTATCTATCTTGCATATATAATCATTTTAATAAATAATTTTTATTACAGCTCATCCTTTGGAACCCAATCCACCATATTCCATAGGAGAATTCACAATGCACCAACATTCTGACGTAACCCCACCATCTGGTCTTATGAACAAAAACGTCTATGACCAACGTTCACTTGCAAATCTCAACGCACATGTATGTCATTGTAGCACGCATATCTACGCATCCTCAATCTTTTTTTCATCATAACCCTTTTTATGTTTAATGTTTTATGCTTAAATTCTGACTAATTAGTTGATCATGGATCTGAATTCGTTTATATGGATATGATCTTAGAAATGCTTCATAATACCTTAGATCATCTTGGCAACATAGGAAATGCAAATTAGGATAGATTTTGCATATTTGATCTCTTTGGTTTATTTGTGTATTGATTGTGATAGAAAAGTTAACTTTTACTTTTTTTAGTAATATCACGTTGCTCTCTACATTTCGTCTATAACTCATTAAGTAGTGGATTCTCTACTTTTTTTTACTTCATATCTTTTAAATTTACGATTTAGTTTGAATCCACAAATGTCATCTTGTGCTTCACTATCTTTCTAGTCTGTTCACGTAATACTTATTGGTTTTGAAATACTAAAGAATATTTTTAGCTGAAAAGGATAATTTTGATGGTGTTGTATTCTCTGAGCTGGATGATTTAATCGTGGAGCTTTTATTATCATTCTAGACAACATCAGCAGCAAAAAATTTCAGAATTTTGTGCTGATATCTGGAATGACAATGAAACCTCCACGGTTAAACCGTCCAGCTCACATAACAAAACACCAACAAAACGTATTGATTCAAATGAACTTGTCCAACTTCCAGGTTTCCACGAAGCCTTGACATTTAAATGTAGAATGAAAGGATGAAGTAAAGGCAACTTTCTTAAGCGTTACTGTGTAATTTTACGCCCACATACATCATAATAAATCGTAGCTAACTGCATCTTCATGTTTTAAACTGTGAGCTAAACGTTTTATACAGGGATAAAGACATTACATGGTTGATCAGAAGTTAGTAAAACAAATGGGTGTCAACTATTAGTTCTATTGTTTGTTGCCTTATTCAAAGAGCCATAGCTTCGCGTATATATAGTATCACTTTATCATATGCGCTCATATGAGTTACAACAAAGTGATTGTTTAAGTGGAAACGTAAATACATTTTCCACAAAGTGGTCCAATGTTTTCTACAAACTGAGTAACCAAGTTTTCTCGTATTGGATAATCAGACATAAGTTTTAGGTTAAACCTATATATCTCCAATTAACTATGTTTTGACTACCGTAACATAATTGGGTATTTGAAATAGTGGAGAATATTTGTGAAGCTTCACGATTAAACAACCCAGCTCAGGGAACACAATACAACCAAGTTAATTGGGTATTGATGTTTACATTTTCTGTCGTGTACTTCGTTTACTCAACATAATATTTGAATGAATTTACTCAGTTATCCTTATACTTTAATTTTAGAGTGCAACTCCTAATAACAATTACCAAAGTGATATAATGAGTTGCAATCGTGAAAGCATGATGACGTTACCAGGTATGTCTGACTTTCATCTCATGACATGTTTTGATTTTCTGTTATATATACTTCCCTTTCAAATTGTTATTTAAGTAGGATGACTACTATCATCAAGAAGTCATCAGAAATTCAATATTTGGTTAGATATGCAAAAAAATTATTCAATCTTGGCTGATATTATCGGCGTTGTCTTAATTCGAAAGATATAACGGTATTCACGATAGTGGGATAAGAAATTTCACAGCCATTTTTTATTCACTAGTATGTATTCAGTTGATTATGCAAGTACAGCATAATAAAAAATGTTGGTCAGTATTTCATTATGTATGCAATAACTCCATATGATTCCATGACGTTTGGATGTGCAGTTACTTTTGGTGTTGCAGAACCTTCATTGTTAATCTACTTGGTTGTTTATTTTATTAACTAAGTAAAGACTGTAGTTGTTCATAAATTCGATGCAAAATTACTACCAGTCATCGTTTAAATGATAATGCTAACGTTATATACATACTTCTAGCTACTCTTGGTATCGGGTGCCAGGATCTATTGACAACATTTCATATTCTGTTCTATTTTCAAAAGCATTTGACGTTGTTATTCTCCACAATATCTGTAGAAATTGTCGTTTAACATACGCAGTTGACTAGTCTGTTTCTGTTGAACATTAACTTTCGTTTTGGTTAGCTATAATAGCTTTGCAGATACGGTTAATAATATTAAGATAGCGATAAAAAAAGCATCTGTAATCATTAAATTTCTTTTTGTAGCTGAAGTTCACATAGGCAGACATTTCGATGTATAACAGTGCACAAAAGTGTATCGGTTCGATTAACCACTTTCGTAACAGCATACAAAAAAGAAGCGGCTAGAAAGAGTTATATTACCATGGGCAAAAGTGTAGGCAATGGGAAAGAACAAATGAATGTAGGTTATTAAAAATATTCGAGACTTCAAAGATGATGAAGAGTATATACATCTGCATCATTGTAACTGATTTTTAACTGTATTACTTTTCATTTTACTGAGAATGGAAAAAGTGAAAATCGTGTTTACACTAGCTAGTGTTTAGCAATGCCAATCCAATCTATGTACACCGCTTTATTCTAGTTAGTATTAATATATGCATCTGGTAATAGGTGACTCGTGAAATTCTGCATACTGTCAAACACGGCTTTATTGAATCCCGTGTGAATTAGAAACCTGAAAGAAATCTAAGATTTTTATTTACGTGGAGAGTAAAAGTTTACGGCTATTATTACGTTGGTTTGGCTACATGGATATTTCTTTTCAAGTGACGATGTACTGTATTGAGTGGATTTGAAATTAGCCATAATATTTGCGACATTAGCACACTGTACTGTCTTCAGTATCTTAATAGTGTCATTTTCTTACAATTCCATCTAGTTATATAATCCCTACTTCATTCCCATCTTTTCTAATAGGATCTGCAGCAGACGAAATGAGTTTCAACACTCGTTCATCTAATATCAGTTTAACACATTCCTCTACACCAACCTTATCTGCAAGCACATCTGCAACTCATGGTTGTAGTCGAGGTACAAGAGGTGGTCGTGTAGCTGGGCATAAACGTCGAGCATCTTCAGTTAATCCCCTAATTCTCTTAATCTGGAAGGGAATGTAAATGCAATCGAGACAAATACAGGTGATGTAGTTTTAACATCAAGTACTTGCCAGCTGTCCACAAATACCGGTGTTAGTTCAGAATGCTCATCACTTTTGGCGATTTCGATAATAGTAGAAATTATGGTCGTGGTCGGACGCCTAGTCTTTGTGGTACTGATTCAGAAGAGACAATTGACCCAGATGAAACACCTGAACAGAGGGCTGAACGAGAGCGAAGTCGTAGACAAGCAAACAATGCACGAGAGCGGTAAGTGTGTACTGTACTTATCATTTTGCTTAAAAATTCATTTCAAAAGTTTCCATTACAAATTAGATACTGTTTCCATCCTATTCTTTATTTCTAGCGAGGTGTGGTCAGTAGGCTGTTATCATTAGTTCGCATTACATAAATTTTGCCTACGTATATGTTACTAGGTTGTGTTCCAATTCCTGTTCTATTCATTCATCTGTGCAACTGTGTTTACGATGAGGAATTCAGCAGAATGATTCTGATATTTACTCTTGACATAACATAACCTCGTTATTCAATTTCTCTCAGCGAACAAAATATTTGTTTCTCGACTGCCGTGTCACAGGTAAACGCTCACATTTCTTATGTAGACCAGGGTAGCCAAAAAAGCATTATTTCTATTCACCTGTGACTAAATGTTTGCAACAGTTTTCTTCTACAGTGGAACAAGTTTGCTTGTTTCTGTCTTTTAGGAATTGTTTTAACTCATTTCATTTTCACTTATTCTAGTCTTCTTTATGGTATATTTCGTAACTTTGAAATTACGTATATTGTCATTTCTCTGGCCTGAATGTACTTTTCCATGTTCACTGTTTTTGCCTATTGTATTGTCTGTAATTATAAAAAGGCTACGAGTTCGTGAGATCAATGATGCTTTAAAGAATTGGGTCAAATGATTAATTTGCACACTGGGAATAGTCAGCCTCTCACAAAGCTCATGATTCTACAACAAGCTGTGACAGTTATTACCGGTTTGGAACAGCAAGTTAGAGGTTAGACGCCGCTCAATAATAACCGAATTTTATTTATCCATCGTTCATTATACCAACACCTGTTATTAAATATACTTATATACGTATATACATACGCATATGCTTGATTAGCATGTTATCATTGTACTTATGCATGTTTATATATTTTCCTTTCCTTTATCTTCACCTTCGGGATCCTGTTATTTCACCATTACCCATACATTCTGCTATCGCTCGTCAATTATCTGGTATATTCAATTTAACGAATGTGAAAATTCTACTTGATCGTTCGTGTGTGTATATACTCTTTGTGTATTGCTATCTATCCAGTATTCGGGTTCGTGATATCAATGATGCATTCAAAGAGCTTGGACGCATGTGCATGATGCATTTGAATAATGAACGACCCCAAACCAAACTTACAATTTTACAGCAAGCTGTCTCGTTAATCACTAGTTTGGAACAACAAGTTCGTGGTAAGTTACTGAGTGTAGTTATGTTTCTGTTGTGGCAGTTTGAAATATTGTTCGAAAATCGGATTTAAATTTATTCATGCGAAATGTGAGTTGCAATTTACGCATTAAAAGTGTGGTTAGTCAGTAGGAGTCGTCAGAATTCATTGATCAAGATGTACACTTTACAACATTGTAGCAGTCACATTATCTTAATGAAGCAGTATTATCGAGAACTTGAAGGCTTTGTTTATTATTAAGTTCTGTAATATTAAGTCTGGTTAGTTAGGATACTCATGTCTATTGTTTTGAATCACACTTCAGATTATTTAGAATAAGCCATTTTCATTTTGTATATTCATGTTTCCAGAGTTTCCCGTTCCATTAGCAGTGGCCTGTCTTTGTACATAGGTCGCCTTTCAACATTTCGTACTACCAATATTGTCAAGTATACCTTATCGGTTCTATTTCAGAAATTTTTGCCTTTTACTGTAGTCAGTTCATTTCATTTGTAGTGTTGGAAAACCTGTTTCGAAACGGTATGAAGAAGATAAAAACAACCTTACGAAGCAAATGTAAGCTTAGGGTCCGTAAAAATAAATTACTAATAGTTATAAGCTTTTAAGATACGTGAATAACGCCACTTCCCTACGATTGTCAATCAGCTATCTTACTCATTGTTAGCATGCAATGATCCTTACTCTTACAGAGAAGTTTTCACATTTTTCGTGCTAAATTAATGCATGAGTGCTTTTCTTCAGCATGGCATTTTCGGGAAACAATAAATTGATATTCAAATATTGCTTTATTTTATGACCAGGTAATTACTACCATCAGCACACCTGAATCCGCTATGAATTGTTGTCAGGACGTATCACAGTTTCTTGGAATCTTTTGATGTAAAACAGGCTACACTTAAGTTTATTACTAATTGTACGGAGTTACCTATAATGTTATAGGCCATCGGGTTCTAAATCTAAATGTTTAAAGTAACTACAGTAGCAACCAAGTAGCTGGTGATAGTTTTTAGTGACTTGTCCAATGATTCTCATAGTTATATTTGCATGTTATCCGTTTTCATTCTCCAGTTTTCCTCTTTACATTTTTTTTTGCAATTTATTTGTTTGTTTTGATATTTCATTAGACATAATTGCTTAAAAATATAATGATGTCTGATTCAACATTTTCGTAATCTTTTATTAATTCTATTAATTTAACATTTTCAGAACGCAATCTGAATCCCAAACAAGCCTGTTTGAAACGTCGTGAAGAGGAGAAGAGTGAAGTACATTTCAGTGGCAGCAGTAGTGGTGGTAATACACATATGAACCCGGTTGGAAGCTCCATAAATCGTTTATGTGGTACTAACTCGGTGAATTATTCCGTTCCAGTAACTTCTTCGACAATGGGGTCTCAAAATGCACCGGGTCATATACTGGACTATGATCCACATATGTCTCATCTCGCCCATGGGACTGGTAAGCATATATTCTAGTTTTAGTTTCTAGGAGTTATCATTATTAGACAACACTAGGAAGAAATATTAAATGTAATGGTAATTATTGGTGTTCTTTCAGTTTCACAGTACGGCAGTTATTGTCTGAATAGCTAAATATTAAATTCTTTGATTTTAGCACTGAGTACCAGGTTAAAAATAGTTTTCCATATATAGCAGACTTGGTCGTCAAATTTCTATCAGCCATTAGAACTTTATACTTACAATCACTATCATCTAGTGAATGTTTTCTGAAGTGAAAATCCATCTTTTGAATCCAAGCTTCACTTTTCGTATGGACATTTTGAAATTGTAGTTTCATTAGCTCTAGAATTTACTGTTCACTTAATTTTTGTTCATAATATTGCAGAATTTATTTATGGCGCTTTATCTAAGTTGACTTATCGCTTATTCACTGAGCCTTAAAGTTCAGGTATATGTTATTTTAATTTGGTAACCATTGTATGCTCTTGTTTTTGCTAGTTTAGTAAAATTATGCAATGCATCATTATGCTTTCTTGATTCACTTTTTGTAGTTGGTTTTCGTATTTATTATTATGAATAATTAATTAATACACTTTTAATTACATTCTATGAGATATTTTTGGTCTGACACATTTATTTTGATGTATAATATAGTGATTGAAATCAAGATGAAAGCTTGCACTACGATAAGCTTCAAACTAGTCTTCAGGTTTGAATCCTATCCCAATCCACATTTTCGTTAAAATCTTAAGCATAATCCTCTTTTTAACAAAAATTAATAATTAAAATTTTTAATTTCAGCTGTTTACGGTGAAAGTTTGCCGATCGTAAATAGTCGAAGTGACTTAAATACTACGTCTGCTTATGTATCGTCTAATACATCTGGTGGTGATGTGTGTGGTTCTGTCTACCTGCATCCGGATGTTCAACAGTGCTCATCGGAACCATATACTCAATCACATATGTCCACAATTAACAGTTTCAATAAAAACAATAAGTCTTCAGATAATTGGCAGTCTGGTACACCTGTTCAGTTGTCAAGATCTTCATGTTCATTATTACCCACCCACTCATCGAATAATTCTCAAAGATTTGGCACAGTTAATATAGGTCAAGATCCTGGAGAAGAGTACGAAGATGAAGATGAAGAAGATGTAGAAAGTAGTGAAGATGAAAGTAAAGCTCCCGTAATTCCTTCGATTTCAAAACTTGAGGCAAATAGTGAAATTTTGCGTTCTCTCCACCACCCACCCACTTCTCTGCACCCTAATAATGGTAATGGAAATTGAATCTTTCACTTTATCAGATGTTTTTAATTTTAATTAACTCGTTACTGTTATCAATCACCTTCCAGTTCAGTTTACCTTGTGCATTTATTGTTCATAATGCATTTTCATGTTCGTTTTTATGCATTTATGATAGTTTATTTTATGGTTTGTTATCTACCGTTGTTATTATCATTATGATAATCATGAAAACTGTATTACCACTTTGAAAAAGCGAAGATCCAATTGTGCTTATTTTTCTGTCTAGGTTTGATTTTGTAAAACCATAATATTCTATATGTGTATTCTTGTTAACAGGGACGAAAGAAAGGAATATGTAATGACATGCATCGCTTATCTTCTTCCTCCCTCCTGTCATAAAGTAACTTGTTCTTTTTGTACCTTATGATCCTTGAAACGCTTATCTTGATGTTTTTTTCTTGCATTTATTGTCTTCTCTCCCGGTCTATTTCATTCCTGATTCAGGTTACTTCCGGGAATTGTACACAGTTGCCAGTGTAGAACCTATCACTGTACCTATGTTTGTCTTCTACCAGTCTATCATTATAATTGTGTCTCCTTTTCCTGAGTTACACATTGTTTTCAAATTTTAATTGTCTTAGATTATGATTTTCTTGAAATTTCAAATAATCGAGTGATGTCTTTGAGATGCATTGTTTTGATTTTTTTTAGCTGATGGAAATATTCGGTTTTCAGCTTTGGTATCAGGCTTCTCCCTCTAATTTCTGAAAAACTGAATAGTTGCATCAAATTTCACAGTAGGTCTCGTTCATAACTTTCTTGTACAAGAATTTGTACATCATTACTGAGTTTCATTTGCACTATGTTTTAGTGTGTGTCGCTAGGCAAGTTGAACTCTTTGAACACCTTGTTTTTGAATTGGTGACCAAGTGAAATTATCAATTTTTTCTGACAACCAGATAGGTAACCTACAAACGCACCATGAAATGTTTTTTCTTATTTTTGGGGGAGAGAAGCAGTCCTCCATTTTTTGTAGGTACTCTACTCGTACGTATGTCCTTTGTGAAATTTCATTTACAAATCGGTCAACTTATTTGCCGTTGTTCGCTTACCGTATATCTGTTTTGATATGTTGGCTAGTTTTGTCTCTTCACATATCAGTCCATCCAAGGCCACCTAACCAGATTCATTTGAGCTGAATTTTTCCGGGTACATCACTGATGATCTCATTCCAAAACGAGCATTCTGTCGTTTGATGTTCAGATTACTGTGGTCTTGCTAGCAAAATCTACAAATCAGCGTTGATAGTTTCTAAGTATTCATGTTGTTCAGTAATATATGTAAGACAGTTTAGTTCATGACTCGTCAAATAGAATCTCATCGTAGACTACAAAATAACCTGTTTATATCTGCATGACCCTTATCAAAGTGTACCTGAAAAGTATATGCGAATAGTCTCTCGTCAATCACATGGACAGTGTTAGAACTGTTTTTCTATTGTTACACCCGTTGACGTAAAACTTGAGATATATTTTTCCATCATAGTACAGCATCTAAGTAGCAAGTTGGAAAAGCGGATGGTGGAGCTGTGGGTGTTCTAGACAGGAAATCGTGATGTATTGAAAGTAAACATTATAACGCAGTTGGAAGACGAAGAGAAATGAAAACAGCTTTCCTTATGAGATTGCAGTATTACACTATTACTGAATGTAGTTCCCATACTAGATAATTTTTAAAGGTGATTCTCATCGCCATCAGTAATACTGTATGAACTGCGTATATAACCCGTCACTTCGCACTCCACTTTTGTATTCTACACCATTTTATTCTCTATGTTCTAATGACATCGAATTTGATGAGTAAAAAGTGTGTTAGCATTTATTTTGTTCTAATGATTTCCCTGTATTAGTTTGTAATCGCCTGAAGATTCCTATGAAATACAATACAATATTCTACTAGATTTATGTTCTCGCTGTTTTCATGTTCTGAGAATATTGTTCAGTAAACCAAGTTTATGTTTCCAAAAGATAATCTTAAGAATTTTCGAGGCTTTAGAATACTCACTATTTTAGCTTTTTGCATTTTTCAGTTTTGGAATATTATTCACTGGATGTTAGATTATAATGGAAGGATTATATACACTTTAGTTTGGACGTGATTTTAGTAAGTCACTTGTAATACGCAACACTCCATAAATCGTTTTGTAGGTGCAGTAATTAATATACGGACTGACTCTTCATGTTTTCGTAGTGCCCCTTCTTGGCATCAAAATAATGCTAAGCTTAAAATAAATAAATAAACATTTAGAACAGCTAAGTATTTTTCCCCGATGACGACAAGTGACTTAAGCTGTATACGTTTGTTTTTGTACATAGACATCCAGACGTTAGCATTAGCCATTATTACGTCTTCTTTGTTCTGTCTTCAGCAACTACCTCAGAGTTCCTAACTAGGCCATTAATAGGTAGATAAGTTAACATTCTTCTCCTTAAGATTAATATCATGTTGGCCTAAAACTCCGGTTGAACCCACCGGCAGGCGCGTTGGAGACAAATGACGATTTTAACACAAAAATATTTCATATCCTAGAAGAGTTCATCAAAAGTTAGGAATCCACAAGTTTATTGTCACCCTAAATTTAACGAATATGCAATCATTAGCGATTTCAGCACAACGTGCCTCCAAACAGTGCAGAATTTGTTGACCAATATCCCTCTTGGTCTGAATTTTTGGGAAAGAATAGTGTTAAATCTCTGGGGAATACGACACTTAGTTCCTTTTTTCAACACAGTGTGCGTTTCTTAGTGTCTATGTTCTTCCCTAGCATAACTACCAGAGTTATGCGTATTTCTAGAAAACTTCAGGGCTATTTTTAAAATACTCAGACTGCTGTAGTTATTATTTTTCGTTGACTGTAGTGCATCACAGTGCATCCTTTTGTGTCAGTGGCTACAGAAATACCTGTGAAAACTTGAGGGAATTGCAGGATGTTTTGCAAAACTGAGAAATATTTGTCGCATTGCCCTGAATACGCTAAAAAGTTTATACCATAGGATCAACCGGAGATTATTGACACGTGCTCGAAGTCTTTGCCGGCTGGAAATCGTTTCAGACTATTAGGTGGTTCGCCGACAGTGAAATTGTTTCCAGAGATTGGGTGATTGTAGTTATGACCTATTGGAGTGACCTCACATTTGTCCTTCCATTTTGCTAGCACAAGCCTACAACGTATATTTGAACTCTATCCAGTATAAAAAACCCGCATTATCTTCAGCTCGCCAAGTTTATCAAAACTCAAAGCAATCCAGATTTGTTTTGAGCTGAATAATGCAGCCAGTTGTAAATGAATTCTCTGCTATTACTGAATTAGCAATGCTGGTGGTGTTATGAGAACGTGATTTCCTTGGACCTATTGTTGGAACGGACGGAAAGATATGATTGTGAACAGTGTTTCCCATCTACGCTGTGTGCTAAATGTTTTTCCTAGACGTAGTTAATTGGCATTTTGTTAGTTCGTTATTAATCGATGTTTGAGAAGACAGTTTTTGTATGCTAGCTTGGAGGATACTGGTTTTATAATAATAATAATAATTTATCGTTGCAAATACAAGCACACACCAGTTTACAGGCGTGATTATATACTTAAATCAGTTTCACAATCTTGGCTGGTAAAGTTTCACTACCCAAAGATAATTGGTAGGTTTATATAAGTAGAATCAATGTTCTGAACGGAGTAGTAAAATGGATAACCAAGATTTCTACACATAATAGTTTTTCACGAGGGTGAATTTCTTTTGCATTTTCCAAAAGAAACGTAAAGAAATTGTCACATATCTTGTTGGGAATAATTCATTTTAAAAACAGGTAGATGATAAAGATGCACACCATATAACTTATCAAAGATTGTTTGGATAATTGTATTTCCTAGGATCAAAGCAGGAGGATATCTACATTGCAGTAAGTAAGAAATCATACTTTTGAAACAGTGAGCAAATATGAGTGCAAACTGACTAGGGGGGGTTCGCAATTTGGCGGGCAAGGTTCACTACCCACGTTACAAAAGGGCAAGTGGTCGCAAGTATCACTTAGAACTCAGTATGAGCACAAAAGCTGAAGAACTTGTAAAATATAAGTTTTATTTCAAATAAGCAGCTTGAAAGCAACGTGACAGTAGCAGTTTGACCGTGTAGAAAGTTCGTTGTATACGCAACCACTGGTAAGCATGACATTACGATGTTATGTAGTAGTTTCTGAGTATATAGCTTCACGATTGGATGAAAACAATAAATCCACTGGTGTTTTAGGATAAAATGTTTTCTTCTGTACTTCCTGAATTAGTGCTAATTAGAGATAAACGTAGTTTCCTCGCAGTAGTTCAAACAGGTAAGATATCAATTTCACTATGCTTGATTCCAGAGTGAGTATCTGCAGAAGAGAAAACGAAAGACGGCAGAACATAGCAGGAGAGGGCTGAAGAAATTTGGTAAAAGTACCCTATGAAGACTGAGAATTGCAGTCAATGTAGTATTCCGTAAGAAGTAATAATTATTATAATTTCATAGGTCACGCCACTTTATGATTTAGATAGCAGTAATAGTGTTTTGTAGTAAATTTGCACATTAGCGCTCAGTCTTAGTAAGATTTACCATATATGCGCTAGTATGAAATGTCCGGACAGTGTAGGAGCAACTGTTCACGGACATCTTAAAATAGTAGCTTTTGTTGATTAAGGCTTAAATCATATCATAATTGAGTGTGAACTGAATAGATGTGAGAGTAGGATGAGGAAGCAATAGGCGTTGCGGTGGTAGCATGGAAATTAGTAAGGAAGCATACGAAATAAAGTCAATTGTAAGGCGGAGGTTTGAAAGTATTCACTGGTACTTATGGATGGAAACTTCACTAATAATTTATGGGCACAAAACTCAAGTAGTAATCAGTTGTGTTTAATAAGCATTTGTAATGTATGTAAGATAATAGCGCAGGTAGTTGCATTTCCAATTAATCTTTGTTCTTTAACAGGGCATTATTTCTTGTCTACC